TCAGCTTCCTGTGGCTCCTGAGACAGCTCTGTCCTCAGCTTCCTGTGGCTCCTGAGACAACTGTCCTCAGCTTCCTGTGGTCCATATTCAGTGTGTTACACACCATGATACCAACCAGCCCTGTGACTACCGTCACCCTTTAAACAGGCAGATTTATTACAGACTGAAGACATCTGAGATGCTGTTTACAGGACGCACCTGAGTCTAACATGTCCCCGTGGACCAACGGTCCATCCTTTTTGGCCGGGCCAGGTTCATTAGTTTATCTATTTTGAATCTAGTAATTTAAAAGCAATGACATATTTTTTCCACTTTTGTCAGGTTCCAGTTATTTGTTACCTTTGTGCAATGTTGTTAGTTTAACAAGAAGGAACAAACGAATGTGTCCGTGTCTGTATGTTCTGCTGCGTTTCCATTACTTAGCCATGTCCTTGGACAACTGCATGAACTGCTCCCCGTCCTCCAGAGGCAGCAGAGACAAGATCCTGCGGTACCCGTCCATGCACTGTTTGTGCTCTCCTAAGCGCATATGGAGGCTGGAACGTTCCCATAGGTAGCGCACGTTGGTTGGGTCATACTTGATAGCTGACGAGCAGAAAAAAAAAAAACAACTTAGAATATCAGCTGCCTTTTTAATCCCCACCTACCGTAATTTCCAGACTATGGAGCACACCTGACTATAAGCTGTGCACACAAAATAAAAATAAAAAGTTGTACATGTCTAACAGGTATTCAACATGAGTGGTACAGCTACTGACAGAGATGTGTAGCTCTTGTTGCAGATCAAGAATCAACCACCAGATGGCGTTTTATAGACGTGATCTTCCTGTCCAACACTCACAGACCCCACAGGTCTTCAGGACAACTACCTCTCCAATGGTTCCTCTACTGAACGGCCGAACACAAACTAACACCTATAAGCTAGGCTAACAAGAACAGACTAATCACCAAAAGAACTATGCTCAAGAGCTAATCGAAATGATCAACCCTGAACATAAACTTTACCCATAATCCCTCTTTAAGGCCATGTGGCCAGCAGTCAACCACAGCAGAATGCTACAATACGTACTGGTAACATACACAAATACGTACAGTAAATGTTTGTTTCCTGAATAGTGCCATGTTGAGGATGACATTTTTTCAGGAGTACCGCAGGTCACGTGATTCCGGCAGGATTCTGGCGGGACTGGAGTCAACCTCATTGTAACTCACGTGACCGGACTGAAAGCTAACGGGAGCAGACAGGAGCGAGAACCGACCAATAACCAACAATGAAAATGAAAGGAAAAAAAACATGGGCGCAGCTATTTTGTAGTTTTCTTTCAGTAAGCCTTCACTTTAACACAAGTCAAAAGGACTACATTTCCCAGGAGTCAACTGTTCCAGCCGTAGCTTTTCACCGTGAGGATGGGAGGAGCAGCGAAGCGGTAACGAGTAACTAAACATAGTTTGTAATGCAAGGTGAGAAGTAAGTGTCTGTCTATTAAAGTCACAGAACAGGAAAGTGTCAAATAACCTGAACTTCATGAGAGTTGTGTTGGTGCTGAGCTGATTTAAACTTTAGTCTCAGCTGTGAGGAGCTGCTCTGTTTACCGTCAGTAAATAAACTCAAACAGCACATTGTTCTCCACCTTGTCCCTTTTAATTTAAAAATGATGCTCTGCTTTGTTATGTGGGTTTTTAGGTTAAAATCTTCATTATCTCTTGCTCAGGGTATATGCAGGAATAATGAAGTTAATTTCAATACCTTTTCAAGACTTTTTCAAGACCTTCCAAAATAAATTCAAGACCTTATCGTCACTTTGTTTTATTAAGCAACAAATCTTTGATTTACAAAACTGCTGTTGTTTTCAATTAAATCCGTGAATCTCAAACCTACAACAGAACTGAGATACAGTGGATAGAAAAAAATTCAAAAGAAGAAACTGAACCACGACTAGGTTTAAGAAAATATAGCTTAGGTTACAACAAGACTCGTAGTTATTTTAAAGTAACTTGGTTGAACAATGGCGAATAAGAAATAAACACAGTAATCATTACATGTGCCTCAGTGCAGTTGCTTTGCATTCCAGCAACTCTTCAGTTTGCACCAGCTCACTGAGTTTTTCTTTACGTCTCCTTCTCAAGACATTGGACTTGGTGATCAGTTGGGCCATTAAAGAAACTGACTTTCCCTCTGCCTGCTCTGCCAACTGATCTGCATCTTTTTGCAGAGAATCGCACACCTCTTGTAGAAGTTTTCTCTTTTTTCAGCTCTTCTAACTCAGCTCCAGCTGCTTTCCTCTTAAGGCTCTGTGTGGAAGTTTCTTTCTTCTTTCGTTGCTGTTCCAGGTAAATCCTGTACTTTGACCTTGCAGAGGCAACAGAAGCCAGCAGCTCCTTGGTCAGAGGTACCTGCAGAACACCCCCACAGACACTGACCTTGTCGCAGATCAACCTCAGAGCCTCCATCGTCTCTTCGTGTATGTTGCAGGTTTCGACCTGCTTGTTAACTGAGAATCCAGTCAAGGCAGTGAAGTCCTCTCTCCTAGCAGGAACATTGTCGAAGAGGAAGTGGAGTGAACGCAGAAGCTTGTCCAGCTGCCACATGGAAAAGCCTGCCTTCACTGCATTGTGCATGGTGTGAAGCCCACAGCTTCCAACCTTGACTAGTTGAGCTCCATAAAGCTCTGCATGCTCCTTCTGGAGAAGGTCTCCCAGCTTCAGGTTAACATTGGGGCCGTCCATACTGATGGAAACAAGCTGTCTCATATTCAGTTTGGCAACACATTCCTGTGACAACAGTATGGATTTTATATTTAATTTTTAGACACACAGGTGTTCAAATCAAGTTATGTATGTAAATATCACACACACACACACACACACACACACACACACACACACACACACAC